ACCCTGCCTAAGGCCCATTGAGGCAAGCGAGCAACCAGGTCTGTGCATTCCCACTTTGTATAGAGCTCACTGAATTCTGTAAGATACACAGATTTCACTCAACAGTTACGAACGAAGCAGCTACTCTGTGCCAGGCACTGTTTCAGGAATCAGAAAGGGAATAAATAAAAAGCTCAGACTGCACACAGTAAGGTCCAAGGATGGCAAGCAACATGCCAAAAAAAAAAAAGGTGGGGGGAGGGCAGCTGCGAGTAGGGGGCTGCAGGGAAGGGGAGCAATTTTTAAAAGGATTGTCTGGGAGGGCTTGACTGAGAAGACAGAGGAGCAAAGGAAAGGGCTCACTGAAATATCAGGGGATGAGAGGGTGCGAAGAGCAAGAGAAGGCATTAGGAAGGTAAGCTGGTAAAAATCACACCGTCTTGTGGGCCAGCACAAAGACTCTGAATGAGACGGGGGAACAGAGGAGTAGCAAAATCTGCTTACAGTTGACAGCATCACTCTGGCTACTCTGATGAAAACAGGCTGACGAAAGACGGGGGAGGGAGCAGGAAGGTCAGTTAAGAGGTTGGTGTAGCTCAGACCAGGATGAAAAGTGGTGAAGATGGTGAAAGGCAAGTTCAAAATAAATGTAAGGTAAAGTCAACAGGATTTATTAAGTGGATGTGAAACGTGAAAATGAGACGGGGCAACTGAGAGGATAAAATCACCATTAACTGAGGCAGGAAAGACTTTGGGAGGAGTGGAGGTAAATTCCGTTTTGGAAGTGTTAAAACTCAGAGACCTTTTAGATGTGTGAGTAGGCAGAATATACAAGGCTGGAAGTGGAGAGATGAAATGAAATTTGAAACGTGGGAGACAGCATCACATATAACAGATATTTGGATGTGCCATCATACAGGAGTTCCATGTGTATCCACACGGACTATACATTTACTGTCTGCCCTCACCTCTAAACTGTAAGCGTCATGTGGCCAGAACCACGTCTATTCACAGCCCGCAGGATGCCTGACACTCCGTAAATATTTACTGAGCAAATGGAGAAGTTACCCAATTACTCCCTCAAGAATAGCCACAGCAGCCCACACAAAGAGCAGCACACATTCTTGCAACTATAGTGCCAAGCCCAACCACCCCAAAACAAGGCCGTGGGTCTGCCCACCCCGAGCTTGAGATTCCAGAACGTAAGCAGATAGGCCTGGCACATCACTGAATCTGATATTTGGGTTTCAGCCCTGCCACATTCTCAACGGGTGGAGCTGGGCAAGAGGCCTGCCACCTCTATTTCTTCCTGGGGTGGCTGGGGGAGAGGCTGCCTCACCCACTTTATGGGCAGAGATATCGGTCTACCCAAGGTATGTATCAGGTGACAGGAGTACCTCAGGGGACAAACACAGACCCACCGGGGATGTACTAAGAGAACCAGTTAAAAAAAAAAAGAATGATAACCACAAAACTGGATGAAATGAAAGGACCACTTAATCCTTGGAGTGGGTACGAGACTCTCTGACCAGTGGGATTCATGTCTGCCTCACTGGTCAAGACAGAACTAAAGCCAAAGGATGACATTACAAGGCATAAGATTTCAACTCAATAACTTCCAATTTTGAACAGCTGCCTTTGTGGAGATGATAAAAATAGCTCTAATGATCTGTAGAAATCCCTTACCTTTCTGAGACACTTGAAAGTATAACCCTGAGTGTTTGATGACTTGCCCAGGGTCACCCAGCCGCAGGCCCAGGACTAGAACTCATGTTCTAGCTCTCTGTTGAGGGTTTCCTTCTCGACACAGTGGCAAAGAAAAGGGTAAGAGTTGTAGCGGGGTGAGGGGAGCTTAAAGCACTGGTTTCACAGCACAAAATGATGTCCTTGTCAAAGGGTAAGCTGCAGATGGTACAGGAATGCCAGGGGCATGCGATGAAGTTAAGGATTCCTTCCCGTTTACCAAATTTGCCATCCCACAGAACTCTCCTTGGCTTTGGACTTTAATGAATAAAGCTATTTAGGGGGGGGATCAAATTTGGAATAAAGCTATTTTTAGTGGGACCCACAAAAATTGAAATGATACACTAGCAGATAAAAAAATTGGAGATACATACTTCTGAAAATATTTACATGAAAAATTCAGATAGTAGGATGCATTGGGTAAGCTTTCTAATTTCAACCAATATTGAGTACTACCTTTATACAAGTCACAGTGCTAAGTTCTGAGAGAGACAGAGAGAGGGAGGGATGGAAAGAGGGAGAGAGAAAAGCTATGAATGAGTGAGAGAGAGACAGACACAAGACGCAAGGATAAGACAGAACCCAGGTCTTCAAGCCTTGCAGTGTAGTTGCTGATATATGACTATAAACATCAAAGAAATGACTAATGACATGGAGTAGGTAATTGTTAAGTAAGTACCATAATATGTCTACAGGAATTCTCAGAAGGCGCAATCACGTCTGGGGGCGGGGTGGAGGGGAGTTTGTCAGACAAGGTGCTTCTAGAAAGACACAGGATTTTAAGATGAACCTTGAAGGGAAGAAAGACTCCTGATAAGGGGGAAATGGTATGAGCAAACACTGGAGGCCTTAATGTCAGGGAGAGAAAGCAATCACACCTCAGAGGGAAGGACTAGGTCAAACTTGAACAGCCTTGAAAGCTCATGCTCTCATAGAAGTAGGGAGGTGCAGGAAGGCTCTGGACATAGAAATACAGGGTATGGAACAGATTAATTTAGCCAATGTAGGCCTTCTGAGGAGATCTACACCAGTGTACCCAGCAGGCATGTAAAGAGTAGGGTCTTCTCAACAGAGTTGTGAAACTGAATAAACAGTTGGGGGGGGGGCAATAATAAGAGAAAAAAATGGAATGTCAAACTGAGCCATACTATGCCCACATCTAGGAGGTGATAGTGGGCAGCAGAGATCAGAGAGAGAGAAAAAAGAGATAACTGAATGCCAAGAGGGGAGGGGGGAAACTTCAAGCAGAAGGGAGTTGTCAACAGTGAAAAGTGCCACAAAATCAATTATGTGAGCTAAGTACATAAATAATAAATATTTGCTGAATAAACGAATGAATGGAAGGGTGAAAGTCCTTGGGTCTGAGAATCAACTTTCCTGGGTAAGAATGGCCAAGGTTGTCTGTAGACAAGATGGTTTCAATTAAATTTTGGCCCATCTGCCCTATGAAGAGGAGTTTCTTCTTCCACGAGTGATCCTGTCCAACACTTCTTCTCCCTGCTTTCTTAATCTTGCCTTCCCAGTTTCTGCAACCCAAGAAACACAACTTCGGTGTCAAAAGAGACAGGAAACTCCAACTGGAGTTTCTACTTCATTATCAACTCTACCTGCGGCTCCTCTTACATAAAGGGATGTGTGGCAATTGGGTGGAAGAGGAGGCAGGGTTCTAGCCCCAGCTCTACTACTAACTAGCTGTGTGGCTTTGGCCAAGTTGCTCAACTTCTCTGGACCGGGTTTTTCACGCAGACAGGAGGATATAGGTCTATATGGACTATAGATAAGTTTCGAAGGTTTCTTTACGCTTGAAAGTCTACAAGCGACAACCTCAGGGAAGGAAGTGAATACAGGACCCAGAGAAACGACCGCCAGACCTCTTCCCGGGGCGAAGCGCCAGGATAGGAGGAGTGCACCCAGAAAGTGAGAAGGCGCTGCCGGCTCCTCGCGGATCATCAGCGAGCAGATCCCATTCCCGAGGCTGGGAAGGATCCCAACAACCCCCAGGGCGATTCCCACACCCCACCCCACCTTTCCCAGACCCCCACACGGAGAGGAGTCTCTAAAAAGCCTGGGGGGGGGGGGGGATAAAGATTCCCTTCCCAGAGTCCTGCGCTGCTTTTGCAAGTCGGATTCCGGCAGACACGATGTGCAACCCGATAATGACACAGACAGTGTTCGGAAGGAGCGACTGTTCTCGCCTCGCCCGCTCCGAGCTCTGGGCACGCCTGACCGCCAGCGCCGAGCCCCCGACGGGAGGCGTCCGACCCCGCCGCCAGGTCAGCGGCGCCCCAGCCCCAGGCCCTCCTCCCCTCTACCGGCCCCACTGCGGTCTGCAAACATTTCCTGCCCCCGCCCCCACCCCCACCGGAGCTTCCCAGTTGGAGCGAGTTGGTCGCACAGCCCCGGTCAGCGCTCGCAGTTGCCCGGACTCGCCTCCTCCAGCCACCAAGGCTAGGGTGACCCCACCTGGCTCGGAGCAGCCCAAGGGGAGACCCAGGCTCCGGGAGCCGTGGGAGGTCGCCCGGGAAGCCCAGGAGCCGGGCGAGGAGGGGGACGACGGGCGGGCGCCGTGGCCCTGCTCCCTTCCCGGTCGTTACCTGCTCGCTTGCGGGGGTGTCCCGGGGCGGTCGGCCTCTCCCGGCGCTGTCTCCCCACGCAGTTGCCCATGCCGGCTCCTCAGCCGGGCCCCATGCACCGGAGGCAGTGGGCTGGTCTGCTGCTCCGCGGTCCGGCCCCGGCCGGCGGCGTCCCGGGTCAACGGCTCCAGCCGCCCGACATCAGGCGCTCCCCGATCTCCCCCCGAGGGCGCGCTCTGCCCCGGCGCCGGCTTCACCACAAACTTTGCGGGCGAGGGGAGAGAGGGAGGTGGCAGACGCCCCAGCACAGTCCCAGGTGGCCGGGCCAGGGGGGCCCGCGACGGTGCCCGGCCAGAAACCAGCTCCGCTGGAGGGGCGGAGAGAGGGGGCGGGCACCGCCGCAGCTACTCCGGGCTCGCTCGGGGCTCCCAGCTGGGGCCGGCCCCCCGGAG